TATCATTTGCTTATTTCGATTATGATTTGATCAATTTATATTTTTTAACCTGTGGGAGTTTTATTTACCGTGCTACTGAAATTTTGGGATGTACAGAAATTAGGAATATGCATTAAGGGGTGTTTGATGCACATTATTGAAAAAAAAATGTATTTTATGATGTGATGTGATGAAAAATATGTGGTTAAAAATAAGAATTTTTTTTTGGATTTGCGCGTAATATTATTTGATTGAAAAATGTGTATTTGAAAATGAGTATTGAAAGAATGAATTTTGGAAAGAATGTGGATCACTCAAGGGCTTATAATTTTTGCAATGACCTACTAATGAAATATTATAAATCTATGAAAGTGTGTGTCAAGATGTAAGCCCTTTTCTTGCTGCAGTTTTGGTTATATTTTTTTATTTTTTTGAAGTGCCTAATCTAATATTTTGGTGTCACTCGCTGTATCCTGTTTTAATATGTAAATCGTTTATTGTAAAGCAAGTTCACGTCTCCAGCGAACGTGTTGAATACAGTAATGCTTCAAATTAGAACTTGCTAAAAGTTTTAAGTTAAAAATCATTTTTCTCGAAGTTGAAATTTAATACCCTTTGGAATTCTGGATTAAAAAAAAATCGAAAATCAAATTAAATAATCTGTATTGTGAAGCCAAACCTGTTCTTACATCTTGATTGAACATTTGAGCTCAACACAACACGAGTTGGAGTGGCTTAAGTTTGATTGGTTCTTGGCTGAACATGGTTAGGTCCAGGCTCGAGGGTTTCGTGGCTTGCTTTTTAACAAAAAACTTAACTATTTATATAAAAACTTGTGTAACAAAAAATTAAAAATAAAAATGCAAGATTTAGGATCATACTACATGTATCAATTTTTTTTTTTTTTATCGAATTTTTTACCTACTACTCATAATAGGGATGGAGATCACATTGTCGAAATTTTTATACGCAGGCCCCACACATTATGTGAGAGGGCTAATCCATTATGTACAAATGAATTAAGGGAAAATTAGGCTGTACCCTATTTTTTAATTATTTTGATTAATGCATTTAAATTAATTAAACATTTTATGTAACAAATAAATATGGCCTCCTAAATTTTAACCAAAACCCAACCCAGTTATCTAAAGCAAAGCCCACACCTACCCCCATATTCCTCATTCGTAGATGTCGACCTCTTCAGGCGAAATTCACCGGGGGCACTTCCTTCATCGACCGAAATCCTACTTTAAATCTCCATTTTGACCCATTTTCCGTCGATTCCTTCTTCATCTTCCCTTCGTATTCCGTTCAGCTTCATTATCTATTTTTCGTTTCAGCTCTAAACCCCGAATAGCGTAAACCCTAGATCCGAAATCCAGAAATCTGATTTTGATTCCGATTATTGACTCATATTTTTGCAATAGCTGAAAAAGTGGCTCGAAGAGGCAAAGAAATCTCGAAGAAGAACCATCGACTAAGAAGAGGAATAAAATTTCTTCGTACTCTTCTAAACCTAAGGTAGGAAAATTTTGGTGAACAATTTTCTTGGTGTTTAGGTTTCAGAATCTATATTTTTTGATGAATCTACAGGCTCTAAGTTGGTTATTGCTTAATGGTGCTAGCTTTGTTCTGGATGCATATATATGGATTCCCTCCAAATGTTATAATTTAGACTTTCTTTAACAGTTTTGTATCAGCGTAGAGCTTAAAACTAAGTTATCGTTTATTAGAAAAACCTCAAATGTTTCTGCTTAAAAAATGAAATACATCTATGGTAATAATTTCAAACTCTTCCCCATTGTTATGTGAAACATTATTACTGTACCTATGCTGTGAACATTAGTTATGCTGTCTTGATTCTTGTCTTTTAAAATAGTAATAGCTTCCTTTAAATTGGTAATAGCTTCTGCAGAACCAAATTTGAAGTTTTGTTTGATTAAAAGAGAGATCATTGAACATGGTCATTTTTTAAATTGGTAATAGCTTCTGCAGAAGGTATTCAAGAATCTTCACTAATGTTTGTCACTTTTTTTATTCCGTGTCACTTTCCA